CAAGATTTTCATAGAAATCGGTCAAGTTTGCTGAAGGAAAAATCATGGTTTGGGGTTAAACTCAGTAGGGGGGTGTGTGAAAGATTTGCAGAGTGGATGGCAACATCAACAGCCTGAGGTAACAAGACATTTGTGCTGCCCATTACATTAAAAACCACAGGAGAGGGCAAATTCTTCAACGGGATAGTGCTCCTTCTCATATTTCAGCCTCCACATCAAAGTTCCGAAAAGCAAAGAAGGTCAAGGTGCTCCAGGATTGGCCAGCCCAGTCAGCAGACATGAACATTATTGAGCATGTCTGGGGTAAGATGAAGGAGGAGGCACTGAAGATGAATCCAAAGAATCTTGATGAACTCTGGGCTTTCGTTTTCTTTGCCATTCCAGATGATTTTATTATTAAGCTATTTGAGTCATTGCAGAGATGTATGGATGCAGTCCTCATAGCTCATGGGAGTCATACACAATATTAATTGTTTTTCCACTGCACCATGACTTTATATTCTATACTGTACATTATTTCTGTTGTGACAAGACTTTCGTCTAAGCAAAGTCAGACCTCACTGTCCTAATTAAATAATTATAAAGGCCTGATCATATTTTATTTTGGTTAAATAAGCGTAATCTAGAGACCTTTGCCTTTCATATAAGCCAGTTATGATACCAAATGATCAACTAGAAGTCAAGTTATTATTGGTTGTTCCTAAAACTTGGATAGGCGACAAGACTTTTGTCAGGTGACAAAGTGAAAGTAACCCCAAACCATGATTTTTCCTTTACCAAACTTGACTGATTTCTGTGAGAATCTGGGTCCGAGAAATCTACCTTCTGCCACTTTTACACTTTTTCAACTCGAAGTCAAGTTATTATTTGTTGCTCTTACAACTGGGATCAACAACAAGACTATTGTTAGGTAGTGTACTACACATATGCAAAATCTGATTTTCATAGTTTGCATAGAGGGTATCATTTTTTATCATCATTTTTTGGCCATTTTCAGATCTCCAAAACACCACTGGCATGCAAATTCCTGACCAAAATGAAAAATATTATTAAAAGTATTTGTAATACTTTTATTAAGTGTTTTTTAAAAGTGTTGCTGTATATGAATATAGTGATAAGAAAACTTATTGAGACACACTCTTTGTGTTTAATAATCCTAGGTTGTGCCTCATTATATTATTGAATCTATTTTTATCATCTAATAATTTAGGGATGCAGTGCATTGACAGACGCATTGGTGTTGATTGATAAATGCTTATTGTTACAAGTATTGGTGCGATTAGGAAAATGTGTTCCATATATTACATTCAATAAGTTAGATACCATTTAAAGCTATACAATTCAGAAGAGTTCATACAAGAAACCAAAATGTTGCTGCTGTGGGATAATAATCAGAATTGCAATTTGTAAAAGATTTTGCGGGGAAAAAAAGTGCTTTCTGTAGATGTTTTAAAATAAAATGAGCTGTCCACTGTATTTATTTGCAAACCAGATCAAAATTTGAATCAAGATACATTGTTGTTTGCCCTATAGATCGATTATCTGCTTCCAAATAACTTGAGTTATCATTTGTCAGTATCAAACAATATTTCATATAGGAGCATCTACAAATACATTACAATCTGTTGGTAAAAACAACGTTGGTAATATTAGAAATATTTTCTTTTAATGGATTCTTATTATGAACAGTTAATACAATACAATAATCAAGCTACAATAATATGAAATGAATGCTGCATGCCATGTATTCTGTTTCCTGCAAATACATCTGTGCACAGAACATAATTGACATTGTTACCACCACTATAAACTCATACCAACATGGGACTGCTCTGTGTTTATTCTGTTCTGAAAATGCCATAAAAGAAAGCTTAAAAAGCAGTGAGTGTGTAATGAATAGAAAGAAAGACCTCATTAAACAAGTGCTTGACACAAAATGGCCATGAGTTAACACAACAGTGCTCAGCTGTCATGTTCGGCACGCATTCAGTTGCAAATAGCTCAGTGTCTGATGTCAAAGCGAATGATGAAAGCATCTGATGGCAGGATGCTTCCTGTCTTTCTGTTCGGTAAATCGGTGCCACTTATGAACAGAAGAAGCACTTGAGATATTCCTTGGTAATTTGTTGAGGTATTAAGCAAAGAGCACTGGATTTTTCTCATGCATGCCCTCATATTTATGCTATTGTCAAAATCCCAGTTTACACAGATATATATATATATATATATATATATATATATATATATATATATATATATATATATATATATATATATATATATATATATATATATATATATATATATATATATATATATATATATATATAGAGATAGATCACCCAAAAATCCCTTTACTTGCATTTATATTGCTTTCTGACTATCACTCTGAGAGACACAATAAAAGTTGTTTAACTATACCCTTCTTGCTGCTCTTTTTTTATTCAAAAAAATGGAAAAAAGTGAGACAGAAACAAAGAGATGTTGCTGGTGTTCTTGAAACATATATATATATATATATATATATATATGTGTATCCGTGTGTGTGAGTGTGACACATTGTTT